TAATTATGACCGTTTATACATTTTTCTTCGTATTCTAATAATACAAAGCGAAAAATTAAATCTGTTTAGTGTTTAATACTTTATTTACAAGAACTGGGCTGAACCCTGTTTCGTAAGCTTAACTTGAACGCAATAATGTTATTACATAAAACCTAGCTTGTACAACATACACTGGCATAATTTACATTGAAATATATAATAAAACCTTTGAATAATGATAATCTATGTATATATAAAGTAGTAATCTCTCTGTTTGTTTGTTTGAATGTCCGATCATAACTCATGAACCCCTTTACTGATTTGATTCAAACCTTGGTTGGGTTGCTTTGTATTACCACGGGAACGTTTTTATTTTTATAAAATAGGCTGGATAGGAGTGGGTTGGTTTTTTGGGGAAATTTTGTTCCCAAGCAAGACTGGGTTTACAAGCTAGTGTTTTATAATTTACAATATAAACCACTGAACTTTTAGGTAACTGTTTTTATATCTCAGTAAACTAGATATCCCGGTCTATACTTTTATGTTATGCTAGGCACTCTTAGTATTTAAAGACTCTCACGCTTTTTGTGTAAAAAATTTAGAATGAGAGATAAAATCTGACGAAATATTCCGATTAAACAGACACACAAACAAACAACAGACAACAGAGATATAATTTAACCTTTGACAGTCTTGTTTTATTCATTAATTTTCAATGTCGTTGAGATTTAATTTTTTAATTTTATTACTTATGTAATGCAGTTTTTATAATTTAACATTATACTAAAAACTACCTGAAACCACGAAAATTCAATAAATGGCAAAATCGTATGTTTATAGGGACCGTGATGCTTAAAGATTGATTTGCAATAACTGGTTTTAAAACAAGACTTGAAAACAAGTACTTTAAAATGTCCATGTCTAGAGCTAAAAAAGGGTAAACATAAGTAAGTCTAATAGAAGCAAAGGCCGTGGCGCGGCGTTGTGACACTTCAAACGTCTTAAGTCAGTCTTAAAAATTAATGCATTTCGGATGTCTGTGGATCAAGACTTGTTACTGAATTGCAAATCTGAAAGACGTCGGAAGGGGGGGGGGCAAGGGCGTATACGGCCGGGATTTTGTCCTGGAGGGGTTAGCTTAATTATTATATTTCCAGGGGGGGGGGGGGAGAATCAGCACCCCTTGGAGCCTGAAAATCCCCTAAAAACTTGGATTCTTCAAAACAGGGAAAATATAAATAGACACATGTTCTTTGAATACTTCTCGAACTGACGCAGTTTTTCAAGGAAAATTGCAACTATTTGCATATTGGACTTTATCCCGATATTAGCAAAAAGAAAACTTGAATTGTACTTCATTAGAAGTATTTAAAGATAGTTCAAAATGGAGTATTAGTGAAGTTGAAATTTTACTACATTTTTCATTTCAAAATTTCAAAATTAAATAGAATTATCTACCTATACACATTTTTAAATTCTTCATTCATTCGTCATTCATTTTGCATTGCTAAAAAAAAACTTGAAAAAAGAGATTTTTTGGATCCAACTGAAAGCCTAAAATTTAAAAGTCAGAACGTTCAAAGAAAAAAAAGTACGTATCAATCTTATCTCCTATTTATTTAAAAATGCAGAAAGGAATTGAGTCTTTGGAAAAAAATAAAACATTTAAACCTCAATATCTTTAGAACCCGAAGCTGGAAACCTTTGATATTTCAAACTCAGATTATTTGATCTAACAGAATTCATAGTTTGAAATATCTAAGGTCTACAACATTTGGTTCCAAAGATATAGTGATCAGAAAATTAGAAGTTGTGGCAAAGAATTATTACCTTTAGATTCTCTCAAATTATTTAATTACTATTACTGGCATACTGTTTGAACATTATTTTAGAGCTAAAACACACGTTTTTCACCCACCTACATTTGTCAAAGGTTAAAAGAGTATCGTTAATCTGGCATTCCCCTCTTTCCATGGAAGGTCACTTGAAATTTAGGTCACAGTCCATTTCAATTAGTTTTCTTTAAAGGACCTGACATTTCCCGAGATTTGTTTTGTTTATATATATTTAATATATATTTAACAAATGCTACTTGCGTAAAATTGGAAAACATGACTGTTATTGTTTAGAGATGTTTTATCAAATCCACAATTACAAGTTTAAACGATATTATTAGAAGGAAAGTGCAACCGTGCACAAAGTCCCAAATACTCTTGATGTACTTAGAGCTCAGCGCAATGCACTTCAGTCAAGGAAAATTAGTTTAGCGGCAACTTTTTCTAACATTTTTTATTGACGCTAATAAATATTATTAATATGTTTGACATGTTCCCAAATTCACAGATTCCAGGAAATCTAAGTTTACATTTTCACATGCGCTCAACATAAAGTACATTTATCTTGGACGTACTTTATGCAGGGTGTCTCGTTAAAGAATAAGTATAAATATTTTACGACATTAAAATCCTGCAGGTCGTTCTTTAATATATCTATGATACTTTGCTTGTTTGTTTGTTTATAGCCAATAAATGTCAAAACGGCTAAACCGATCGGGCCCAAATTTGTTGTGGACCTTACATGACCCCAGGGAAGGTTTATGAATGCTCAGAATTTCAAAAATAATTTTTCTTCAAAAATTTTTAAATATGATGAAATCCGCGAACCTTTTTTTATTGTTTTATACTGTACGAAGTGAAAATGCTCACCGAACCTCAATTTCAAGTGAAATAGAAGATGGGCGTGAATTGTCCTGAAGACAAAGACAAAGACAATTATTTTAATTGACTTCCAGCTGAGATTGTGGGGTTTACTCTTTTGATATTTAAACATTTTTGAGATATTTTAACAGTTTTGGTCGTTGTGTTCTATGGCCAAGAAATATTGGTGTTTACTATTTTGAGTCAGTATTTGGTACACTCTGTATTGGAGGAAAAGGGATTCAAATAATGACTCTGTCGTACTTTTAACGTCTGCCTTACACGAATTAATCTAAATTTTACAATGAGTCTTAATTCTCAAAAAATATCATTAATATTTAGCAAAAATGACAAACAGTCATCTTTACTAAACAAACAAGATTCAAGTTTTTAATGACACAATTTGTATTGTAAAAATTCTTCAAATACAGGGTTACCCTCACAGGATGAGACTTCAGATACGACTGTATAGTGAATTTATTCTTTCTGTTTCTTTATATTCCCTTCAACTGTAAACTTCTTTCTTTCTTGGCCAAATAATAAGATAAGCCATTAAAATACTTTATTTAAGCATAGGACTTAACTTCCGGTCGTCTTTACAGTTTCATCCTTTGTGGGTAACCCTGTATCTCATTTCATATTTTTATTCAACTACAAAGCACGAGATAATACAAATAACAAATCACAATTTACTATGTAGTTTGGACCCGCCTAACCATAGTTGGTTGTTTTGATTGGTTGGCCCATCATAAGCGAATAAGAATTGTAAATAAATAGATGGATGTCTTTTCTAAAAATTAAAAAGCTTCAGTTTTCGTGCACACTTGTAAAAATTAGCCTTTTTTGCGTTATATGTTTGAAATCCCCCCCCCCCCCTTTAATCCGGTACTGTGAACGTATAAGTTGTGAACGTGTTTGTCCACATGATATATCGTATAAAAATCAGATTGGATCCAAGCACATGGGGTAAATGTACTAAAATACCAGGAATATAGACTCTACGCACTGTTTCCAGTCATAATAAATCTTTCTTCAGAAATCAATTTTTTTTCATGATTTGGGAAAAATATAATTTCAAGGAATTTTAAACAGGGTTTCTGTTCAATGTCAACACATTTCTGTACAATATGCTTCTCTAAAATGGTTTTATTTCTATTTTAGTTAAGAAATTATCAAAGTTTATGAACTGTCAAAAGAAAGACAAAATGGGACATTACATGTGTACGACTTTGGGACCTCGTAGCTTCTTTTATTTTGATTTCACGCAATTACATAAAATACATTTTTTCTTCTTAATAACTCTTCTTTAAATGGAATTAAGATTAAAAACCCATATATATATACATATGTATATATATATATCAGATTTCAGTCTGACGTGCAATTTTCTCCAGAACAAAAACATTAGCTACATGGTGTCCCACGAAACATGACAGTTGGTAAATAGTTTTGAATGTCGTCTTCCATACACTGTATTCGATATTAAAGGATGTTTCCAGTTTATTTCGTTTAAAAAATCTTTTGCTCAAATATATTTTATTTTGAAGTTAATTTCACTATAATATGACTCCTAAATGATATTTTTATTATTGTCTTTGGTATTAAACAACTTAACAAATTATGGAAGAAGACATTCTAAACTATTTACCAACTGTCATGTTTCGTGGGACACCCTGTATCTAACTTTGAAGATGTCAGGCTTTTTCTTATAAAATTTTGAAAACCTCAAATTTCACACAAAAAAAAGCTCCTGGAGGCTGAGCGTCTTATATTATGTCTAATGTGCATTTTTTAGTTGGACTGCTCGGTGTTGTCCAGGTTTATATTATTAATCATAGTCATAGTTACTCCAACCGTTTTCCCGTGCTTGGTACTTAATCATGATTTTTGCTGAAGTTTTCTGCGTTGCCCGTGGGATTTTATGTCACATCCGGGGTACCCATGGGTTCCTTAAAAAAATGTCAGCCAATTTGGTCCAGCCGTTTGGCCAGCCATAGCAAATTCTGGCATTTTCACACTCTTCCTTTTTGTAATTTTATTTTATCATGGAGAATAGATTTTACCTATAAAATAATGTAAAATATAAAAGTTTTGTTTAATTTGATTTGATATAAATCTGGATTATATATATTTGATCCAACCTCAAGGCATTAAATGCAGTCTTACTTTCGTTTTTAAAATATTTATAATCCCCCCCCTCCCCACCCTCACCCGAACATTATCTTTTTAATTGGACAAATGGGAATCCTCATTCCTATATTTGCAAACCACCCCATCCCCCCCTTANAGAGTAGAACTGGTTTTGATCACTCCTCTCCGTACATCTCTTTTATTTACATAGTTTCATATTTTTACCAATTCATTCCAGTTCAATCAGTTTAATCTTGACAACCCTAGAGATACTAATATGGTTAATTCGACTGAGTTTGATAGGTTAGTTTTAGTACTTATAGTGAACTATTTTACTATTATATTTACGCTTCGTTCGCTGAAATCTCTCAAATTTGTTTAAAATTCTAAACATGTGTTAGGATTAGATCAGGTCTCAAAGTATATATTATTCTTGAGGTAACCACAGACTTATTTTTTAATCGAAATTAACTCATTAAATGGTGAATTTATGTTTTTGACATTCTTCTTTGTTGCTACAGAAATTACAAGGTTGCAATGTTGTAATTATTCAATAATTGTTTTTCAGAGCTGAAAACTTTAGAATGGTGGATATTGATATTAATGCTTGATCTCTTCTTTTTCTTAATCTCCGGATTAAATAATGCTTGTTCTCCTCTTGTTGTTAATCTCCAGACTAAATAACCGATCGTGATCAAGGATATCCCATTCTAAAGTTTTCAGCTCTGTTCATGTTTTTTAAATGAAACTAATTCATGAAACGGTCAAGATTGAATTTGAATGTTTGAAAAATATCTGGATTTATTATTATACCATAACAGAAATATTATGTACTTGGCTAGTTCTTGGATAAAATAATACACTTTTTTGGCAGATTTAATTTAATTTAATTTTGTACATGGATCTTACAGAAAATGTCTTAACTTGACCTAACCCGTGGCCGCAGCGCTCGGCCCCCTAGCCTGTCCTAGCCGCAGCGTTCGGCCCAGAAAGTGTCATAACTTAACCTAACCCGTGGCCGCAGCGCTCGGCCCCCTAGCCTGTCCTAGCCGTAGCGCTCGGCCCCCTAACCCATCCTAGCCGCAGCGCTCGGCCCAGAAAGTGTCTTAACCTAACCCTGAATAATACTAAATAAATACTCATTTGGTCATGTCCAAAATTGATAGAAGGGGGTGCGGGGGGCTGGGGAGGGAGTCCAAAAATCGTTCACTAGGACAGACCCTATATCAATTTCATGGGTCGCGATCAAATAGATTGTCAAGTACAATAGATGGCAACGAAAAATTGTACACTCTCAGTACAGCTGTATTCTGACGTCACAATTGTGTCCATTCAGTTTTTGTGTCTGACCAAATTATGAATAATAGTGATAATTTTAGAATAAAGTATTTATCTTACAGTAACATAATTAAAATTTTATTGGATCCTTATTTTCTGTTTTTACACTTGTTTATTTAATCTTGGAAAACATGTCAACTAATGTGATAAAATTTCGTTTTCCTTGTTATATTTGACACTTGTGACGTCGCGTATAATTGTCCATTTCTCTGTTGCCACCTATTGTACTTAATAATCTATTTGGGTCGCGATCAAGAGCCTTTACCCATCTTTTATTTTTCCTTTACAGTCCCTTGAGCATTCAAGGTTTCTTTACCCGGCCTATATAGTATGTTGTGTTAATTTTTAATGGGGTAATAAACCTTTATTTTTTTTGTCTGATGCTTTGTAATTTTTTGTAATTATGTCGTTAATTCGAAAACTTCTTTATTTTAAACATTTTTATATTTATATTTATTTAAATTTAATTTTTAGTAATAAATAAATCTGCTTATGAAATATATTATGAATATAATCATATAAATTTTGTACGGGTTTTTTCATATTCGTCAAAGTCTCGGAAGAGGTCTTATTTATTGTCCTGCCAAAAAATGGCCTTTTTTAAGTCCATCAGAGCACTTTGCCAACATTGGGCCGGAATTGATGCCTCTCTTAAGGTTGCATTAATTGCGGCCTAGGATTAGGTGTACTTGTACACCTTGGATTTCAGAGTCTCAGGAAAAAAGGGGTTGAGTGGAGATATTTGTCTCTGTTTTTTGTTAAACAATATTATTTCGCGAACTTTTTAAGATTTTCAAATATTCGACTTAGTTTTACACTAAGTATAAGACCCCTTTATGAATTAAAATGATCTTTCTAAGCACTTTCAAAGTCTTTTTTAGAGGAGTAAAAAGGCAACCTACTCTAATGCCGGTTTTTGAGTCCCCTTGTGCCATTGTGCATTTCATTAAATTATAGGGGAATTCCCAATTTTTATCTTTGACATTGGTAGTTGTTATGGATATGAGACTATTGTCACTCTTAATACAGATTTATAATTTGATTAGGCTGATTCCTGACATTGTTGTAACCACCCCGCCATTGGAGTTCGAGCAATCTCTTCCCAGCATTACAATCTCCACATATATTACAGGTACAAATTCCACATACATAATGGGTACAATCTCCTCATTCATTACAGGCCCAATCTCTACATATATTACAGGTAAAATTTTCGCTTATATTACAGGTATAATCTCTACAGATATTGCAGGTACAATCTCTATATATTCAAGGTACTATCTCTACATATATTACAGGCACAATCTCTACAGATATTACAGGTACAATCTCTATATGTTCAAGGTACTATCTCTACAGATATTACAGGTACAATCTTTACATATATACAGGTACAATCTGTACATATGTTACAGGTACAATCTCTACATACATTACCAAGTACAATCTCTACAAATACTGCAGTTACAATCTCTACATACATTGCAGGTAAAATCTCTACATATATTCTAGGTACAATCTCTACATGTATTCTCCACATAAATGTCCGGTACGTTTCTCCATATATTGCCGTTACAATCTCTACATATATTTCAGATAAAATTGCAGGTACAATCCTATATGTTATCTCCACATATTACAGGTATCTCTCCATATATTTATCAGCTACAATCTCTACAGATATGGCAGGTACCGGTACAATCTCTACATTTATTACAGGTATAATCTCTACATATTACAGGTACAAACCTCAAGTTAATCATGTCCGTGAAAATTTTTTTTCATGTTCAATCCTAAATATATGGCTGGGCACAGTTCCTCCAGATGACATCTCCGACTATTCCATGTGCTATTTATCTAGCTGAAAAGATTCGTACTTCAGACAAGTTCATTTTGGTGGAACAAAAGTTTCTACCTTTTATAACAGGTTTTTGCTTCAGAAGATGACTATGATACCAGATCTATTAACCTATTGGAGGATATTGAACCCTCCTTGCTGTACCCTGCTCATCTATACACACTGGCTGAATCATCTAATCAGGATCATCTTGATCTAGTTGATACTTTTATCCAGGTATACTAATTATTTCAATAGAATTGTCCGTAAGAAAGTTTATTGAAGCAAGCACCCATAGCAGGTGCAATTTTTTCTTAGGTAATTAAGAAAATTCGAAATAATTTTAGAACATTTCAAAGTAAAACTTGAACAATTTTTTCAAATTATTTTTTCTCGAAACAAAGAATAAATGCTCCAGGAGCGACTGAATTCCTTGGACAATCGGATAAAGAAGCGCACTAGTTCTTGCAAGTGCTCAGAGGACATAGTCAGGTAAAAAAAAAAGAGATCTTGTTCTGGACTTCTTTTAAAAATATACCTGTTTAGGAGTTTAGTTGACAGCCTTCAATGCCCAGTTTGTTACAAGACTTCACTTGGTAACGTTTATCAATGTGAGCATGGACACGTGATGTGTGGATCTTGTCGCAGTCGTCTTCGTTCATGCCCAGTCTGCCGCGTCGTATTAAACCAACCGATAAGAAACTTAGCTCTGGAACAACTAGCAAGACTTCTTTAAAAGCATAAATTTTCTTGACTGAAGTTAACCAACTTCTTCTGACAATGGCTTTATTTTAGCCAAACCTGAAGACTGAAAGGGAAATCCCTTGAGACAAAAAACCACTGGTAAAATATATGAATAAAGATATGAAATAAATTTGTTTAAGATTATAATTTTGAGTGTTAACCTGAGAGAATATTCTACTGCCAACTTAAACATAAAGACTTTTTTTCAATGTAAATGTCAGGCTCGTAATTGGGTGATTAGTTTAAGGGGGGGACGCATAGAGTGAAACTTGTGAACGAGGCGAGGGGGTTGCAGGTGATCAAAGCCCCCTTGTTAAGAAATTTTTTGATTTTTCGATCTGAATTAATTTAAATTCGTGAATTTTAACTACTTAATTTCAATCATTTCATTGTTAAATTTCATATCATTTAAATATGAACACAGCAGTTTAAATGAACAATAATATCTGGAAGATCTGGAAACAATTTGGTTTTTTATTTACAGGGTGTCCCACGAAACATATCGGTTGGTAAATAAATGTCTTCTTCCATGCACTGTAATAGAAATTAAAGGCTGTTAGCAGTTTATTTCGTTTAAAAAATATTTTGCTAAAATATGTTTTACTTTTACGGTAATATGACTCCTTTATGATATTTTTATTATTGTCTTTGGTATTAAACAACTTGTGGAAGAAGACATTCTTAACTATTTACCAACTGTTAATGTTTCGGGGGACACCCAGAGCCCGTTTTCTCAATAGAAAGTGGTCGTGTATTTCACGTACTTTGGGGGACGATATGTTGGCCGCTAGATGTCTCATGCAAATTCTTATCAGATAGATATGTCTCCGTACATTTCACGCCCAAAATAGGAGACGTCAAGTTGTCGACCAATGTAGTTTATGGAAGGAACGGCATCTATATAAAAACAAAAAATATTCAACAGATTTGCAAAATGGAACAAGGCAGATATTGTTAAATAATTGAACATATAATTGTAGACTTTATAATCTGTGCAACCTGATAAAAGCCTTTGATATTTTAAATATGAATTATCTAATCATACAGAATTCATAGTTTATTAGACATTAAAAATGCAGAGTTTGTGACTAAAACTCGATTCCTTGTGTAAATCAAGAAGACTTTTTCAGGCCGTATCTAGTTATTCTAGTCAGTAAGGAGTTGATTCTGGACTTTGATTTTTTTACTTCGATATGTTTTTTGACTCTTCATGAAAAGTTACGCTTTATTTTAGACCTGTAAATGCACTTGTATAAATATAAAATAAATTTGATTGAAAATTCCCTCAGTGGCATTTTATTAATTGATGTTATAACTCCATATCAATATTATTAACATCTTCTGCAGAAAAAGTTGGTGTTTTGACTTGAAACCTGATGGTCCATTTACAGCAGCGTGAGTTATAATCGTATTAGATTTCCAACAGGGGGGGGGGCCCCCGCCCCCTTTTGTATTAACAAATGGGGGCGTGTTACCCGTTTCCCCTTCAGTTATGTCCATGGCTATATGTAATGATGTATGCAATCTAAAATCATATTTGTTTTTCCGTCGCTTCCCATCACGATTATTTGGGTCCTCCTGAACGAGATGTTTCTATTTATTTAGTGTTGGTTTAACAGTCTCATATTACAATTTTAAAATTTATAAACTTGGAGTATTGTGAAGTAATATTATATCACGATTTTGATAGATTTCTACCTGTGTACTTTGAGGGGATTGAGGGAGGCCGGGAGTGCTGGGCAGCGAAATTGGTCTCCAAGCCTCGATATTCGCTGATTAGTATTTAAATGACCTGGCGCTACCCCTAGACGTTAGAATATATAAAGAAATTAAAAATTAAATTTTTAAAGTAAATATTTAAAAAGAATTAATAGAGTGTTTCCTTAATATCCGAAGACATTTGTTAAAATTTGTTTAGATTACTTTTTAGGATCAAGGAAGCGCCAGGTCGTTTTAGATAGACATCTGCAAATTTACAGACTTCGAGACCATTTAACCGAGCTCACGGCGTCCTTGCACCCCCCTCCCTTGTAGTGTTAAATTGTATCTGAGATATCTGTCTACCTGACACCCCGGCTAGTACAGGCCGGCCAGTTTACCAGCTGCTGCCTACCTGCTCATACACACACACACTTATTTTACACAGAATAAAAACTTTATTTAACTAAGTGACTTGACTATAAATCTGTTAAAATTAAAAGTAATTAAATTTTACAATATTACCTATGAAACCTTTCTGACAGTTAACTCCCGTTTTTTAGAATTTCAGAAGAAAGAATGAGTTCTCGAGCGAACATGATAAAATTCATACTTTCTTATGTTATAATCTTTGCATGTGGGTCATTTGAAATTAAACTTAGTGCCTTAAATCAAGCCTATCATAGACATAGCTTTTACGAACAAGCCACTTTTCAGGAGAGTGTCTCTACAGGGTTACCCACAAACAATGAAGCTTCAGAGACGGCGCGGCTATGGGGAAATTTTAATGCCTATTTCATATATTCATGATTCCCTCCAACTAAACTCTTTCTGTCTAAGCCCAAATTATTAAATAAGCATTCAAGACAGAAGACATTTTTAAACTTGGGCTCGTCATATTGAAAGAGTTTTGAGTCGTCTTTACAGTCTAATCCTTTATGGATAACCTTGTAGCTACTCTGAGTAACAAACTAATATAATATGGAAGAAATTTAGGTTCTTTTTACAATATTTAACACTTCCCTCACATTATACATAATATTCTCTTTATCTTTGCAGTTTAATGGCGTAAATCTATGCTTTTTCAAACTATGACATTTTTGAGCTCGCAGAATTCTTCGCTTGAATATGTTGAAGTCAAAGAAAACAGATAATGCCATTCTGTGCTTATATGTCTTATTTCATCACGTTGCAAAGATATAGTATAAATAAGAGAGTTTAAGTAAACAATTAGTTATTTTGAAAACGATAATTGGTCTGCATGGCGTTATGCATTTAAACTAAATTTAACAATCTGCGTCTTGTGTGCAATTGCAAATCTCAAATTTAAAAGAGAGTTTGTTTTAAACAACTATTTCAAAGGCAAAAACTACTTTAAAAGTACACAAACAGAATCATAAATTTTCGATTTGCAGGGAACGTTGAAATATTTTAAACTGGCATGTCCGATTCACGGTTGAGGACGAATCAGATGTCCACATACATTACGTCTACAGTTCCTTTAAAGTATATAATTGCATTTATATAACTTCTCCTTCGCTTTGTCTTATATTTTATAAAATGGCGTTATGCCAGTTACCCTTGTGAACCCCCCTAGCAACCCAAATTCTTCTTGAATTCACGTTCTAGTTTTCTTTCTTTTATATCTGTAGGTGCATTTATAGTGATACTTAGTCCACAGACAGAGCAGTTGAAATCTAGACATTTACCTATACAGATCTACAATAACATTAAAAATGCGAAAATACTGCTCATTATATAGATGTTACAAAGTAGCAAGCACATTAAGGTTAATCAAATTTTAAAAGTTTCTGTTTGGTATCATTTAAGAACCTTTTTGTAAAATGTAATATCCAATTTCAAATAGAAATGTGACCAGTGTGTGTGTATCGTTTTCAGGTTTGTTTTTAAGTTTTCAACTTTTAATGAGCTCTACAAGAATTTGAGTTGTACATCCTGTTTAAAAACTGTATGCATGACAAGTTTGTTAACATTAAATTATATTAATTTTTACTCTGACTGCAAAGATATTTTTCAAAACAATATTTAAAAATTATTACTAATATCGTTTTGATTGATTAAAGAAACACCCGTAAAGGTTTAAAACGGACCTCAAAACAATGTTGATCTCTAGACTAACACGCTGTTTATTTTTTTAGATACAACGTTAAAGTTTATGTTTTCTGACACATTTTAAATCAAGAACGTATAAAAATTTTGTAAAACTGTTTGAAACAAATTTCGCAAACTATTTTGGGAAAATCCGCGAGTTTCATTTGTAAACTGTTTAGTTGCCTTATCGAGGTATTCAAGTTTATAATCCTCAGTCCGGTCCAACACCTTAACTAAAAGTTTTTTTGTGTACAATTATGCAAAACTATCTGTCTAAGCATGATATTGATTTAACAAATGAGTTTAGTTTTGTTAATAAACAGAATTAAAAGGTTCTTCAGCGGTTGTATAACAGATATATGTTCTACATATATTTTTAGGAAATTAAAGCTTTACACAGGTAATAAATTCATATCTAAAAGTTTTAAATCTTGGTCTAAAACATCGTAAATCTAGGAATCGCATTGTTTATAAAATCCAAAATCTGTTTAAAAATTGTCATAAAAAATCTCATTGTTCGTGAAGCCCAATATCTGTTTACATATCGTCATCAACAATACACAATAGATTATAGATTAACTTTTGTGGTTTTTATTATGCGCCGAATTGAATGCTTTATTTGAAATAAATCCACAGTTCAATTTAATCCTCTAGCCTGCATTTACTAACCCACATTTAACAGTGCAGATCTGTATTTGAGGTTATAAACTGTCAGAAAATAAACTTAAAGGAATGTTTAAAATGTAGAGTAGGGTAGCTAGACACTTCAGACTGCAAGATTTGTTTCTTTTAAAGCTTGAAGCGTAAAATAAAGAAAGATTCCTGTAAAAACAATAATCTTTCAAGCATGTGTATTTCTAAGCCTATATTCTAAGCCAAACTCTTTTTTTTTCAAATAAGAATTTTTGAGACAGATTTGATAAGACCTCAATAATTTGTATTGGGGTTTTTACAAAGTGTTTTTACCTTTATACCTTGTTATAAAACACCAAACATCCAAAACAAATTTAAACGTTTTTGAATTTTTAACATTTGAAATTTTTTTCAGAAAATCTAAAAATGGCATCCAGGTCTATTATGCCCTCTGGGTAAGCATTATCTTTATTTTCTGTTACGTACGTCTGCTTCTTTAAATAAACACTGTAAAATTATAAAATACAAAATCTAACAAATATAGGATTAACACAGTTATTAATTATAATAATTATAAGAGATACTTCATATCAACGATATGTTTAAAGTTCCAAACAAAGACGTAATACACTTTACAAAGTCAATTTTCTAAATGTATTTGCCAAACCAAACTATATGTTGTAGCTTATACGATCAGAGTCGATCACAAAATAATCAACGTATCAAACATTTTTAATGGTGTTACCGGTACGAGAAATGTCTTCTCCTAACTAAGAAGCAAAGTTGTTTGTGCTCGAATGGGATTACAAACATGTATTTACCCTACAATTCCAGGCATGGCCGCATGAAGCTTTGAACACTTTTGAGATTTATAATCCAAATGACAAAATAAACTTTAGTATAATGGATTACCTTACCTGTATATAATCATGATAAATCTTATCGAGGGAATATTTTTTTAGGAAAAATACAATTAGGAATTATTAAATTCAAAAATAAGTTTCTCTCTTAATTGTAAGGTGCCGTTGGAAAAATACAGCATATCCCATCAAACATTTTCGTTTTGTAGTGAATAAGCAAGCATAATGTGATTTATTCTATAACTTACCATAATTAAACCCACTCTTAAAGAATAGTAAATACTATAAAGGTCTCACGGAAAACTAAGTACATCTATCTTTATATATAAAATAGTAATCTTGTTTGTTTGTACAGGGTGTCCCACGAAATAGGACAATTGGTAAATAGTTTAGAATGTCTTCTTCCATAATTTGTTTAAGAAAATAATGAAAATATTATATAGGAAAAATCTATGTTAGCACCTGTTTCAGGAGTTTTGAGGGAAATGATGAGGATTCTGATACTGAACAATCCCAGCCTAGATCTTCAGCTAGAAAACAATCCAGAAAGGAATCTTCATATTGAATTCGAAACGACAATTTTTTCTCAAATTTATTTTACAGTGGTAGGCGATTAAAGTTTTGATTGTTAACAAGTTTTTATAAGTAATCAAAGAGAAGCTTTTTTAATTAACAGCTTCTCTTGAATTAGCTATGTTTATGTGTATCCATGCTGTTTAACAGCTTGATATTAATCAAAATTTAAATCGTAAGTCGTATTCATTGTATTGATACTATCACCTACCACTGTAGAAAATTTCGATATTTATAAAACAGACATCTCTGTTAGTAGCTTTTTGTCTGTTCGATTATAATTCATGAACCCCTAAACATGGAAAGCGAGAATATTCTTGTTTTAAACCTGCATTGAAAACAAATCTTTATCTATATGTATATGTATATTAAATAATCTTTCAATATTCACATTACAGAATAAAATCTTGAACTGTTTGGAGAAAATTAGATAAGGGAACGTTTCTTAACAAATATCTATATTTTCACAGGATTATCAACTTTTGGATCACAGAAAAAATATGTTAATATATTACATGCACNAGAACGTCGTTACAATTTTATCAAGAAACCAAATTGATTTTGATGTGAAGACTTATGAACAGGTTGATTATGGAGACAGAATGGCTTTCAGACAAGGTAAGCTATTCAACTATAGATTCATTTTAGTCCCAACATTTTCATTTTTTACAATATAGTTAACTTAAAGCATTTTTACAATATGAGATCGTTAAATCTGATTGCAAGGATGGAATACGAGTTTAATTAATTAACTGAGGTTTGATGTCCCATTTTGGCAGTTTTAGTTTTATAGTTTACGAGATGTATATAAGGAATCTTCATTTTTTGCTTAGAAAAAGTTCACTCCATATTTTTAAAGGACTATTTATTTATAAACTTCTTGAAACTCTTAAAGCGTGAGGATCCCATGGTTAATCTAGGTCTTCTTCCTTGAATATAGTCACTTAAAGGGAGTGTCTGGCTAGAAATGGTAGTTGAGACGTATGAGACGATTTAACAGTGCATACTTGTTTAGCAAAAGCGCAATTTCAATCGGAATTTTTCAATAAATCTATGTTAGAATAATTTTTTTTCACCATTAAATTGAATTTAGTTGTCCTTATCAATTTGCTTGCATATATTTCTTTAAATTCTTCAAATATTGTCTCTACAATAAAAATTCCAGAAAATAAACGGAAAATGTTTGTGAACAATGAGACATTAAAAAACCATTATCTGAATAAGATTTGTTTATGCATTATACTATCCGAAGACCGTACTGCCACAGAATTACTTCTGGAAGGTTTGGTTAGGCTTAGGATTTACAACCCTGGTTGATCAAGAACTTCAGCTCCTTGATACCTAACTTCGAGGATAAGAGTTAATTTTTATCTCAACTTGTTCCTAAACAACTAATTAGTTTATTTTAGAACTTTTGTCACATTTTCTTGTAGTCGTCATCGAATAATTTGTGAAAACCCGATTCTTAAAATTCCATTCCTCCAAAGACCAAAATGAACAACCTATGAAGATTTAAAAGATTGAATTCGTGTTTTTGCTAACAAATATGCACCGTAAAATTTCTCATAGGTCTCAAATGAATCCTAAAATATTTCTCTACATTAGTGTGCATTTTCAGCCTAACTACCGTTTTTAGCCAGTCACTCCCTTTAATGGTTTATTCAATAATTTGGCGAAGCAAATAACACGTTTAAAGTTGCACTTGCAGAGCCCGAAATTTAAAAAAGTATCGTTGGACAAAACTCTTGAGTTTCCTTTTTGCAGTGGTCAATATAATTCCCAAAAAAGCTGATTTTCTCAATCCCAAAATAATTTTTTGCCCCCAATTTTGAAAAAAATGCCCCCAATTTTTAAAAAAAATGCCCCCAGTTAAAATTTTTTTTTCAAATTCCACTAACACATTTGTAATTTAAAAAAAAAATGCCCCCAATTTTTTTTAAAATTATCATATAAAAAAAATTTGCCCCCAATTAAAGAATTTGCCCCCATTTCTTTCAAATTTGTCAATCCCAAATGGGATTGAAAAGTGAATTATATTGACCCCTGTCTTTTTGGAGTCTTAATATTTTGTAGATTTTGATTGAAGAGATTCAACAAAAATGGAGAATATGAAGAAACTAAATGAAAAAAATATTTCATAACAAAACTATTGAAATCCACAAAACTGCCTAACCCCATTCGTAAAACCCGGGTATTAAAACCGGTTTTCATACCTATACCCTGTCATAAGTTTTGGACTCAGGGCACCGTGATGATGATTCACAGTACAGATCTTTGTGTACAGTGTACGATATATACAGTACAATAATACTGCGTACACAAATTGTAATCTTTTATATTTATAAATATTTTATAATCAAGTGAATTAAGTTTGTGATTAAAATGAGAATATGTGTAACCACAGAGTTGGAGAATATAGGTAATAGCTACAGGTGCAATTGAGAGGGGGGGGGGTTTACTTCCTTATGTACGATTTTTGGACCCCTCCCTACACTATCAATTTTGTTCATGCATCTCATGTAACACATGGATATAATTGTTTATGTGACCGCAGCGCCAGGCTCCCTAGCCTGTCCGAGCCGCGGTGCTCGGCCCAGAAATTGAATATTGGTATAAGATCTAGAGCTATACTACTAACCGGAAAACCTATAAATACTTATTACATTCGTATATACATATATACGCTTGGAATACGTATAAATACGTATTTTCCTTACGTATGCCATACATATTTTTGCAACCATTTCCTTGGTAAAAATACATATTGTAAATCCGTAAAAATACCTATATGACAAAGGTAAAAACGCGTATGTAAAAACGCGAGTGTAAAAAACCTAAAAATCCATTAAATCAGGAATGTTTAGGTTTTTCCTATACGCAGATTTAGGTTTGAAAAATCTTAACAATTCCTTATTTTTTAATTTATAGGTTTTACCTACATAAATTTACATATTTTTAAGACCCAAGTTCTAAAACCAAAATGTGAAGTAGATAACTATATAATTTTGCATGCACACTGTTCCTTCATATCATACAACTAATCCCAAAAGTTTCTTAAATCCATTCATAGATATCAATTATTTTCAATCCAATCCAATATTCTTCAACACAATTTCACACCATCATCATTCCTTCATCTGTATCCATCCATATTATCATTCATATATGCATTTTGTCTGTATCTTCAATATATATTCAATATCTGTTATACTGTTACAAGGCTGTCAAAATAGAACTTCTATTTATAAAAAATCGAGAATTTACTGACATTGATTCTAATGAAAACATCGATTTACTAAAAAATGATAGAAATTTGGAAAGATTGTATTTTCCAAAATGTTTGCAAGCCATTTCTTGCAAAACAAATCTCTTGAGAAATCATAAAATATTTTTAAGTTCTAATTTAAATATGCGTTTTTGCAGTTGAGTTTTTTGTGAATATATTGACACTTAAAAAATAGTTGGCATCAAACTTTTCAACTCTAAAAAATACAAATACGTGAAATTTATAAAATATAAACCTTAAAACTTATAAAAAGTATAAACTTATAAAGTTTACGAAATTATATGCATTTTAAATATTGTATCAAACTTATAAACTCTAAAAAAAAAGTAAAGTAAAAACCGAAAAAATACGTGAAATTAAAACCTAAACTTTGAAAAATTACTTGGTATGAAATTTACAAAAATATACGGAATTTTGGGTTTGCATCAAACTCTAAAAAGATACAATTTTTTCAGTAAAGAAAAACCAAAAAGTGCGTAAAATAAAAACCTAAAAACTTAGAAAATTAGTTGATATGAAATTTACGAAAATATACGTATTTTTAAAGTTTATATCAAACTTTATATAATATAAGAAACATTATTTTTTTCAGGAAAGAAAAAACCTAAAAATACGTAAAAGTACGTAAAATTAAAACCTAAAAAATTTTTTTTTTTAGGTATGCCTCAAACTTTTAAACTTAAAAAATACAGTTTATTAAGTAAAGAAAAAACCGAAAAAATACATTAAAATACATCAAATGAAAACCTAAAAACGTTGGAAAATTAATTCGTATGAAATTTACGAAAATATACGTATTGTTATAACTTATACTTATAAACTTAACTCAAACTTATAAACTCTTTAAATACATTCAATTTTTTTAGTAAAGAAAAAAATAATAGTAACAATACGTAAAATAAAAACCTAAAAACTTTTAAGAAATTACTTTGTAAAAGGTATAGGCAAAATTATTGGTAAAAATAAGTTTCTGGAAAACCTAGCACTAAAAACAAACTGCTTGGTATGATAAATAAGTAAATATACGTAAATATACGAAAGTTCTTATACCAAAAAGTAGAGCATATGAATTTTTACGTAAATATATCTACAAATACGTATACCTTTTTAAAGGCTTAGTATTTTTAGGTATATTAGTGATTAAGTATTAACCTTTTCATTCTTAAAATGATAATTGATCATGTTATCGCAATTAAACAAGGTAAATTAGCCCCCCCCC